AAGAATGAAAAGCCTGTGGTTTGCCAGCCACTTTAAAAAACACTTTAAAAATAAGAAAACATTAAGTGAAAGTAAATCACACATTTACTGCATTCTCATGCAAGCAGATGATAGTTATTCAGCTTAAAGAGTGTTTAAAAATAAAACAGGGTTTAGAGCTGTATTTTCTTTAGTTAAATCCACTAGATCTTTCTCCATTTCACCCAGTTAAAAAGCTGTCAGGATGTTGTCAAAACTTGCTAATGACTGCCCTAGTACATCACAAACTTTTAGTCATTGCAAAGAAAGTGCCATTCAAATCTCAGTATGTGGCAAACCGTATATATACATGCATATATAAAAAGTGCAGTTCAGACAGTGAGCTGATGACCACGTTACATAAATACGTAACAGAGGTCAGTGTTTACACTCTTCTCAGCTCCTGGTTGAGTCTAGACACAATGCATGTTCTAACCAAGAATTCTTTATAGTGAGTTAAAGGATAAATAACCCCCAATCCAATATGGAGGAGTGTAAAAACAACCAGTGATGCCATGGTTTCCAGCTTAAAGACCTTAACTTTTCTGAGGGAGTGCCTGTTGTTCACCTGACCTGATTTATGGTTCACACAGAAAATTTGAACTTTTTGCAAAAGCACTTCTACTTTACCTAGAGAGACTATTATTCATTCATGAATCAGGAAAGTTTCACAGTAAGAATTTTATTGGCCTGGTTCATAAAGGTGTGGTGCCATTTGTAACCAGTGCAACAGCAAGAATAAGAATAAGGCCCTGGGAATATACAGTTTCTCTTTCTTCCTCATCACAATGAACTCCTTCATTCTATAAGTGTGGGAATCATTGTAAGGTTTGATCTCCAGCTACTGTAAATCACAGAAATGTCATACTTCAAGTTGGTATATACAAATGCTGATTTTCATAACTTTAGGACACAGTTAGAGAGAGGCACAAATTTGGACATCCAGCCATCTTTTTATGAAAAAGAGGCTGACAGATAATTGGTAGTAAATTTTCAAATTTTTTTGTCACAGTTTTCCTACCAAAGGAAGATATAAAAAATGTCCTTTCTATTACAGAAATGAAAAAATCATTGGTTTGATGATTGCACACTGTCTTCCAAAACCCACAAATATACGAAAAGGATTCACAATAGGAAAAAAACCCAATCAAGGCTGAGGAATAATTTCACAGTGTAACTTTGTAATGAGTCCCTGGAGGAAATATCTGTTCCTTTTGTTCCTCTCTGCAAAGCTATGTAATTGATTCCTAACTGTTGTGTTAATGCTCCCTGTTCGTGTCAGAATCCCTTTGGAAATACATTAAAGCAACCAGGAGACTCTTCTGATGCAACTCCTTGAATGCTGGAACCTTGGATTCTCTGACACGCATCACATTTCAGGCAGTGGGCCACAGTGGAAGCTCCAGTGCCAAAGGGCTGATAAATATTAATATAGAAGAATAAAGTATATCAAATTATATATCAGAATGTAGAGCAAACCAGGAAACTGTTGTCCTTTATAATGAAAGGCAATCTTTTATAGGCACCGTTACATTCCATAAAAAAAAATAAAAATCAAAGTATATTTGCTATAGCATGGTTTATTGACTTTTTAAACCAGCTTGCAAAATTTTAAATGATGAGAGCCAAGTGTTTTCAAAGAAAAGATTTGGTCTTCATCAGGATCCAGAATTAGTTTGATTCTCCCTGACCTTTCTATCCCTTTTGCTGTACACACACAGAGTAATAAAAGAAGAATGGAACAGAAAGGGTTTGGCCCAGCTCCTGAATTATACCCCCATGACTGCTACAGAGTCGTGCATGAAAGTTTGTGTGTCTGGACAGAGCCAGTGACATCAGGTAACCTCTCTTCAGCAAACAAGGAGAGAAATATGGGAATGGTGTGACTCCGTTTTTACCTACAGTGCCTAATTAACCTTAATTAAGGTTGTGTTGAGGATCTTGTGCAGCTTGCACGAGGGGTATCTGCTTCCTGACTGTTTTTAGCTTTGAGCAGGCTTTCCTTTGAGAAAGGAAGATTTCCTACCACAAAGAAAAATGTCCTTATGAAATACATATGTTCATGTTCCAATCTAAATTTAAGAGCTGGTACAGATAAAATATCCGTGTTTTTAGTGTTCCTCCAGGTCAAATGTTGTTTAAATAAAAGCACTAGAATTAAAGAAGATTCTCTAGCCTTCATAATTAAAGAAAAAAACCCCTAAACTTTTCACAATTTGGGTATATGCTCCCTGAAACAGCACTGAAGTTGCTAATTCTTTTCAACACTGATTTTAAGCTTGCTAACCCAACGACTAAAAATTAATCAACCTTGACAATGCCACAATTTACTGCAAACTTCTCCTTTTCCAGTATGGGTCATCATCTCAAGTTTCACAGTTACAGATACCGTTGATGTATTCTGCTCATTCTTGACTTTATTACACACTGGGTGGCAGTGTGGAAGGCTTTTTGTTCAAAGCGTCCTTTTATGGGACTAACTTAATACAAAATTGCAAAGTTAAAATAAGAAAAAAATTATTTTAATCTAGCACATTAGATCACAAATAGTAGAATACTTAGAAGGGCAGGGGGAGGTGTGTGTCCTCCTTCTTCATGTTAGAATGACACTACTTGATAAAAGACCCTGTTTTAAGTAGATTATAACTTCAGTGTTGCCTGTTCTGAAATTTTTCATATTGCATATCTACCTTAGAATTTTCTTTCTTAGTGGAAAATTTTGGCTAAGGTAATTTAGCTATTTCTAAGAACGCAGCAGAGACAAGAACAGTATCCTGCTATGTCTACAGATTGTCACGACTCCTTGTATTGAAATTTGTAGTATGCTTGTGTTTTGCAGCAGCAAATAAAATTTTTAAGTAAACAGGTTATTGTCTGGGATTAACTGAGAAAAGTGAGACTTAGATACTAGGGAGGCAGGGAGGGGAACAACAGATGGACATTCAAAAGCAAACAGAGTCATCGTCCCCCAGAAAGGGACAATTGATCCACTCACATCCTTCATTTGATGTCTGGAAATCCTATATTAAGGACTTCATGATCATGACAGTTGAAATTTGCCCTGAAGTTCTGGATTTTTTTTTTTTCCCTCTACCCTTGTCTCAGAATTCCTGCATCATAATGAGCAACAAGGATAATTTTTAAGTCTTGCTTCTCAGTTCTTTCACTAATTCCTTTTCTTTGGTTTTGGGCACTGCAGAGAGAAAACATAAGTTGAGACTCAGACATTTGTCTGGAGATTCAGTTACAGCTACGGGTGATGGCTTTGGGAAACATACACAATTCTATGCATTTTTCAAAGTCCTGAGGCAGATACTCAACAGGAGACAATTCAAGCCAGACACTGCAAACAGGGGGCCCTTCAAGTTTTTAGGGCCTTAAATCTTTCTCTGTCTCAGTTCTTTACTTGAAAATCTGGGAAGTCAAGAGCACCTTTCTTCCCAGAGGGCATTGTGAAGATAAACTCATCACTTATCTGTGAAACATCCTGGCTAGTCCAGTGAAATTCATGTGGAAACTCACATTTTCTTTCCCAGAAGGGTTTGAATGGTATAACAGATCTAAAGCCTAAACACAATAAAGAAAAAATAATACTGACTGATGCTGTTCATAAATGAACAGTGTCCATTTTGCATCACTGAATGCCTCAGGGTTCCCGATGAAAGCAGCCAACGTAATCATATATACTTGTACACCAGACAGGCAAATTTTGCTGCACACAAAAAAATAACGCTGGCATTTCTTAAATTCTTTGTATTTGCCTAGTACAGTTATCGTTACACCCAAAAAGCTATTTAACAGAGCACTTATTAACTTGCAGATAATAACATTTGCTATATTATGGTGAGGCAAAGAGTTTATGTTTTGAAATGCTTTGAAAATATAAAAGGCAGAAAGACCCTGACATCATCCCTGAGTTCATGAAGAAACTTCCCGCCTTAGACTTTTGATAGCATATTTATCTATTATGCGATTTTATGTTTTCTTCTGAAGCATCTAGTACTGACAGTTGGTGGAGACAGGATATTTGACTAAATGGGTCATTAGTCTGATCATTTCCCCAGGTTTCTGTGTGAAGTGGGGATGCTATAGCATCTAAGCCTGACAAGCACATATGGAAACAGCTGAAATGGAGCGAAGGCTTAGATCATTGCTGCATCTCACGAACACTGAGACAACGCTGCAGGTAAGTAGAGATGCTAAAAGCAGTCTCCGTTCTGTAAGGAATATATAGGAAAGATTAATGCAGAATCTTGACATGGTACTTTTGCCTTTCCCTATAATGATATCAATAAACATCTTCATTATTGATTTTTGCTTATTATTAAAATGGTCTAATACAAATATAGACATTGAGCCAGATTAATGCAGAGATCAGTATAACTGCAGCCAAGAGCATTTAGACCAGAAGTACTATCAATTACTACCAAGTCTGGCAAGCCCGACTAAACAGAACTCCACATAGACTTCTGAATGCAGGGCTTTAAAAGCAGAGTGATCCCTGATCTCCACTTAGTATCATACCCTACAAAAACTTCCTCAGGCCTTCTAGTTGGGCCTGTGCCACTCAATATCTCTTTTTCCTTCAAAATGTCAGCACAATCCCTGTTGAAATTGTGCCTGCAACACAGAAATGACCTTTCATTGTGAAATAGGACAGTAAAATACTTTTTTCAAATACTTGCAGATGAGTTGTTTTCATTTTTGTGAAGATTGCACAATTCCTTCCAAATATCATCGTCTAATGTATGCTTCTTGCTAAATTTCAGAAATTACCTTAGCAATGCCAAAAAAGATTTCTGGATTTATTTGTTCAGATTTCATCAGGTTCTGTCAGTGAAACTAAATTGTGAAGGTGGGAGTGTTTTACCACATAATAGATAGAAAATCAAGCTAAAATATTCTATAGACTTGAGTATCAAACATAAACTGAAAATGCACACTCAGAAATAAAAACGTTAGCTTTATTTCTGAGAACAAACAGTACCTTTCTCCTGTCATATAAGGCATGGTTATCCAATGTCATCTTCCTTTCATGAGTAGCATACTTGCGTAAATCACGTCCAAATTGCTGTAAAAGATATAACATATATGAGCAATTCTGACAAATCAAAATTGTTATCTTTTATATAAGAGCTCCAACAACAAACCAAATAATAACGAACACATTAAAATTACCTCTATTAGAAGACAATAGGCTGAAAAATGGATCATCTGAAAGGACAATGTTTTGATAGGCAACAGTCCGTCATTTCAGCTGGTTAGTCTGAGAATAGTTGGGCGCTGTACAAGAAAATAAGTTTATGTATAGCCTATGATGGGTTCTTATAGTCTGTAGGTGAATTATCTCAACAGGGAAGAGGAGCTGAGTGAGGCAGAGAAAGATACAGTCACTGCCTACTCAAACAATGGGCCTCCTAAAGTGCGTTTTTAGTGTAGACACCTACCTACAGAACTGAGAGAAAGTTTTTTAAGTAGTCAAACACTTCCAGGATAAGAAGGACCCCAAAGTCTGCAGAACCTAATCCAATGTCCAAATAAATACATTTTATTATCTCAAAAAAGAAAAGTGACTGAAGGAACTCATCAGCTCAGCAGGAGAACACATCAATAGCAACATTTTGCCTGGTCTAAAACATCGTGCTTTCGATTAACCTGAGCAGAACAGAGTGGCAATTCACCTGTACTTCTAGCACAGCAAAAAGGTCACCCAGAGCAGGCTCAGAAACAGTCTATTATACTATGTAATCACTCCCTAAGAAAATTAACATCAGAAGGCATGCATGTAGAACAGATTAATAAATAATTCTGTCTGGAGATTAATTATGTGTGTGTTGAGTTTGCATTTAGATAGAATTTTTTTATTTTGAAAATAATGTACTATTTTACATTATACCCACTGACTACAGTGTCTATTCTGAAAGTAGCTATCATTTCAAGTTTTCTTAACTTATTAAAATATCAATCAAAACATTTTATTCTAGTTCAAAACAAATGTGCAAATTTTAAAATTCAGCAATTTTTTACAGTTGAAAACACTCAAAATATAACTGAAACAAAACATTTTATCTAATCCAAAAATAAAGGTGTCAAATTGTTTTCAATTTCTTACAAAACAAATGAGGTTCCAGTTCAGAACATCTCTTCCTCAATTGTTTAATTTCCTGTATGTTAGTGACACTCTGCAAAGCATCTCTCTACTCAGTAACCATTTAAATTTCTTGTTAACACTAGTATGATGTAAAACGTAACATGATGTAAACTGACTGAAAATCCAGCTCTTCAGCCTATGATCCTAAACACTAAGCTTTGAGGAAAATAGATGTTAACTCCTCTAGAGAGACATCCATAAATGTCAGTGATGAGTTCATCAGCTCCAACCTATGATCATGCGTTGATGACAGCATGAAATGTTATGTGTGGAGATTTTTTAAAAATCCGTGAACTCTGAGTGGTCCTGCAACAGCAAAAATAGGTTAGTAATGCTAAGAAAACATAGAACTGTTGTGATTACTTACCCTGGAGCCTGTCCAGCCTAACAGAGCATATGCATATTGCTCAAAGGGAGTTATGACCAGATCCACACGGATTGCCTTCCAGTCTTTGACTTCTGCCATATCAAATTTTTTTGATGTGTTGTAACTGCTGTTGTCTACTCTTGGCTGATGCAATTTTAAAATTGCAAAACACTTCTGAAAATGATCCATGGCATCAATGCTTCTGCTTGGTAGCTGTTCCTTTACAAATGTTGATTCAACCATATCATAATATAGGAGTAAGCCCTAAAGAGAAGACATTACTCACATTGAATTGCTGGACTGGTTTTACTGTAATTCCAGAGTTCCTAGACAGTTGCCTTAAAAATTCATGTAAAATGCAGTTTCAGTAAACACAGAACTGTGCCAGGCCAAATCCGGGCTAAGCAGAGACATGAAACAGCTGCAGCTTTTGGAAAAATGTTAGCAGATCCTTTGAGGGAAATCTGTAGTCTTAGTCATCTGATAGTGGCGATGTCCTGGCCTGCACTAAGGAGACAATATTTGCAATTCTTCCCCTCCATCCTTTCCTCCTAAACCTTTGGTAGTTAACGTCAACAGAAATTTCTGAGTAGGGATTGATTAGTCCAGAGCACAGTCTTGCTGACAGATTCCAAACAGAGAATTTGGACTGTATCTCTTGTGTAAGATTTCCTTGTGACAAGGTCTGGAGTCTCCAGCGAGATGGAAGGGCCCTGCCCATGCCTTTTGTTTGAAGGGAGTGCACCAAAAAGCTGTTGATTCTCAAGAGCCAGATTTTATTAAAACATAAACAAGCTTGTCTTTTTATAATAGAGAACATTCAGAGTGAGAAAAATAGAAGGAACAGAGAGTTGCAAGTTATTTCCTCCTAATTCAGCACTGTAGGAAGGGTTGGGTGGAAAGAAGTAGTGCTTTCTTCAAGCCTTGCTCTGTAGCCAGCAACCTTTCAATGGCTCCTGGGTTTGCAGTGAACTCTGCACTATCTCTTCTAGTCCCTTAGGAAAAGCACCTTTCTGTCATTCCTCTGGCCTGTCTCTGTGCTTGTTCTTTGCATTTCTAGGCAGCTTCCAATGCTACTGATTTCCTGGACACCTCAGACTTACCCTGCACTCCCAACGCTTCTTAGAGCTCTGCATGTTCAACTGCCCTCAGGTAAAGCGCAATCTCCCCTCACCAACCAGAAAACCTCTCATCACCCAAAGCACAGCACCTGGGATGAGACAAGAGCAGCCTCTCTCTTCTCTGCTGCCCAGCACACTCTTTTTAAAGCATACAAGACATCAAATACAGAATAACAAAGAAATAAAGCAGATATTGTCCAACACACCACTTCCTTCAGTCACCCTTGAGTCTTCCGAAAACAAATGGCACTTGATGCATAATAATACAGCAATGTTCAGTGTCACTGAACCCATCTCTAGCAGGAGGGCTCAGCTGGCAAAAAGATTTGGCTTTCTGAGGGCAGTTCCACATAAAGGAAACACTTAGATGTGTGCCTAAGTCCTGGTACACTCAGCCTTAATTTAGCTTCTATGGATTCATAAAATATAGGAGACCACTGTGACTTCCTCCTCTGAGCTCCTGATTTCACAGAAAATAGAGACTTCTAAGATTTGCCTTTGTAAAAGAAATTTAAATTTGTTATAAATGTTAGCAACAATAGTGCATAAACCACTTTCTTCATAGTCTATCAAATGTTTAATTGTTATTACTACAAGGAAAACTACTAAACGGAACCTGCTAACTTCACGTTCTGACTAGATAATTTCATTAGTTTTCACCTTCAAGGTCAACAAGACTACAACTGTCACATCTTTTCATATCTCCTTTTACATTTCTTTAAACCTACACATTGATCAAACCCACTTCTCATATTTCTCACTGATGAGATCAATAGACTCAGTTTCTTACAATTTCCATCATCAGGATTTCTTTAGATCATTGGATCAGTTTTTTTGTCCCTCCTCTGAAGTTCCTCAAATGTTTACACATACTCCTTCCTCTAGACTAGAAATTCTTATAAGAGTCTTAACATAAAAAGCATGGTCAAGTATGCCCCGATTTTTAGTTAACATACCCCTTAATATATGGTAAAGAATCATATTAGTCTTGTTTTTGCTTTTTAATTGCAATATTGAACTGAGAGTGTATGGAAGTGGTTTTATTTGGTTGTTGATGGTTAACTACAACGGTCTCCAGGTCAGACCTCTTATGAACTCAGGTGACAATGAACTGATTTTTGGAAGAATATCTCCATATTAAATACCAGGTTTTGATTATTTCTTTTATATAGTGCAAATGTGGTAACTTTACGTGATAATATGTTAAATACCTTAGAGAATACTTTACAGCAATAAAATTACTTTTATCACTCAGAGCTATAAGTCTGACAAAAAAGCATAACAAAAACACTTAACAAGATATGATTTCCATGAAGAGACACTGATAGGTATCTGTTATATTTTCAGCCTCCGGGTTTTTGTTGATGATGGTTCCAAATTAAAGATCCTATTATTTTACTGGGAATCAGTCACAAGCTGTTTTATGGGTCACTGGGCCAACCTTTTTAATGATAACTATTTGACTTACATTGACATTCTTTCACTTCTTTGGAAATTTTTCCTGATGTTGAAGATTTATTATAAAATAATATGAGAAAATTAATTATATAGCTCATTCTCTTGGATCACTAGTTTCCAAGTCTGCTGATTTGAAAGAGCTTAATTTTAACAGGTGCTCTCTCATATCCATCTTTAAAACACATAGTAATTTTTTCTTCATTTTACCCCAACATCACAAGGCACTGACGCTTGCTATTTCCAAACAGAGAGTCAAAACAGCTGTTGAATGTTAATGCATAACTCCTTATTATCTCACTTTTTTTGCTGAAGCTACGCCTGCATTCAGGTTAATTTTCTTACTTTTAATCCTAAAAAATGCTTTTAATCTCACTGATCATTGACAATTAATTGACGACTTCAAGTTTTGATTAAGCACTGACAGTCTTCCTATTCTTTCTAAAAATCTTCTAGCTACTTCATCGGTGCTTTCTCATCTTTTCCTTCATTTTCCTTTTTGCTCTTTGAGATTTGGGGCATTACATAGCATATCCCAGAACGAATCTAAATAATTTATTTCCCTGGGCAGAATCCTAACTAGATCAAGTTTTGGCAAAGTCTTCTTTTATAGTTCCAAATACCTACATTTCCAGTACCTATATCCGTGTTTGTGTCCTCTGTGTTCAAATTAAGTTGAAATCTCCTCACTTTTTGTGCAAGAAAGCAGGAATTAAAGCCCATCTTTAGATGGACTACAAAAGGAATGGAATTCTACTGGAGGTGGGAAGTCTGATAGGATTTTTGTTTCTAATCACTTGAGAAAGCCAGCAAGATATCACAGCCTGCAGTGGTTTCTTCCTTCACAGGCAAGCAGATGAGCATCTAGGGAGTCTTTTGTCTCAGTGAGATTTGGGGACAGTCACACATGGCCACCAGTACCCCATACTTGCATTTTTAGCCTGTAAACACTTGAGGAAATATGATTATGTATTACCTGTGTATCTGTAATAGATAAAATGGCCTTAACATAAAATGCTCAGGCCTTTTAAGACATTCGTTTTTAACTTTTAGTCATACGTTGTGTCCTCTGCTTCATCAATATTTTCATTCTAACACTTAGCTGTCTTATAATCTATAGATGATTTCTTCTGAATCAGCTTTACGTAGTTTTCAGAGTCATTTTTTCCAGCTTGCTACTCATTACAGGAATATGTATTTGTAAATGAAACTAGGGTGAATTTGATATGCCAGTCTTTGCTGTATTGCACACATTGAAAAAATGAAGACATTCCCATTACCTAAAGTCATCCTGGATACCACTTACTAACGGTCTTCCCTTTGAGATCTCTCAGCTACTTGAGGTGTACAAATTCTGCCTGTTAAACCACAGCATTTAAAGATGGGTCTCTCTTTTTTCTCATCCTATTTTCATATTTAGGAACTTCAAGGGAACACTCCTTGAGGTCCCTGAGGTTTAACATCAAGCAATCATGAAGAAGTTACTACAAATCAACACTGGAAGGTTTCTACTACTGTTTTCCCTTGCTGACTAGGCCATGTCTTCTACTTGAATACATTTTAAGTATTTGCAGATGTCCATGGTTAGCAAGTGTGACTAGAAAGATATTTTAGGACTACCTCTCTCTGAGTTATTCTGTAGTTTTTTCATAGCTTGTTGGCTGGGCAATTTCTACAGCTAATAGGAAGAGCATGAGAGCATGTATACCACTGTAAATATCTACTTCAACTTAAATTACATTTTTCAACTTAAAAAAAATGTAATTTTGCAACAATTACACAGGTGCTGAGTTCAACTAGCAGTTGAAAACTAATTCAAAGTCAGGATATAACCTCTAAATAGGAGCCAAAGCCTAGGTCATATCCATTAGGATAATGTTTCCAATTAACCTAAACACACCATAAAGTGCTGTAGACCTTGTTTACGCAATCAAGTTTTAAAATGTCGGCACTTTCATTCCTCAAATTTACAATACCATCAAAACCAAATGTATGTTTTTAGGGCAGTTATCTCAATACCCACAACAATTTTCCTTTTTAGAATTATTATGCACTTTTTCTTAAATATATTGAGTGCTGTCACATCCATTGATATTGGAGTAAGTCCATGGTCAAACTGAGGAAAAGTGTGAATTTTTAGAAAAATATAAAATTAAAAGCTGAAAAATAAATCCAAATATGGTCGTTAGCATTCTTTATCATTTTAAATTAAATTAAATTATATCCTATTTTTAATTTCACAAGTTGTCATTATTCATAATTCTTGGTAGCTGGATGAGTTCTGTTAAAGCTACATAGGACCATTTTATACCACCTGAAAATGTAATCCAGTATGTTCTTCTGAAATGTATATATGTTGTTGCTCTTTTTTAAACCATCTCAGAAGGAAATTAAGTGAAACTGGATTTTTCTTCAGTGAAATACCTATAGCAAATCCAAAATAGAATGTAGGCATGTTAGTTCAGAGAAATCTCTACCTAGGTGAGACAGACGGAATTCTACAAAGTGAAACAGCTCAAGGAACTGATACGTGGGAGCAGTCAGGCCTGTTAGGGTGAGGAATCATTAGCAAATGGCATTAAAGGCTTGATTAGCAATACAAAACTTTGCAGCTGCTACATAACCACACAGCTGCCTTGGTCCCTTTTTCATCCTGAAGTTCCCTGTACATTGGAATGGTCTAATTCTGTGCATGTCCTGATCAGCCTGGCTTTGACAGCAATGGACAGACCAGCACCAGAGTCCAGGAATGAAGATGTTTCCCTCATATGCCATGAGTATTTGCACTGGCGAGCAAGGTAAATTGATTGATAGATAGATAGACAGACATACTGACCCACATACAGATATATAATACACACCAGAAAGATCAGATGTCATAAGAAATGCCACTGCTGCCCGGATCTTCACTTAAGAGATGGCAGGAAGCGGAACACTTCTGCTTACCTTATGCAATAACCTCACAGGCAAGACAATCAGATTCAGCCCCATCCTCTGCCTAAAGGGATTTAAGCCAAGCTCTCTCACGCCCAGTACTCTAACCACTATGCAATACTCTATTTTAGGTAAGAATGTCCTCAGCTCCTGATGCAGCTGAGACAGAATGCAACAAAAAATACATAATGCATTGAGTCAAAAGGTGAGACAATATGTGTTCACAAAGGGGCTCTGCATCCTTATCTCCATCTGAAAAAAACAGCTCTTTGCTCCAGCCTCTTAACCATTTCTGTATCTTGTCTTAGAAACAGGTTTTGTTACTGCTAAAATCCAGCTGTCATTCAGTAGTAAATGTGCTCCTCTTGTGTGAAGGCTGTTTACAAAAACCTGTTTCCAGTGATGAAAAAGTAAGACTGGTTACTTGCTCCTCACCATCGCCTTAACTGGACATCAAGCCTTCCTTTCCTGACCTGGTCACCTCAGCAAGGGTGAATAATAGAGTCTAAACCAGACCACTAATATACTAAAATAAGTAAGCACAGGCTGGCATCTACATTCCTCATTTTCCTAAAAGCCGAGAGAAAAATGCAACATTACACTTACTTGAATACACAGGGAAAGAACGAAGAGTGCAGGAATATTGAAAGTACATATGTAACAACAGGAACAATGTTAAATATAGGTATATAGGTTTTTAGCAAAAAATTAAAATGTCTTTACACAGTGTGTGAATGAAGCTGACAGAGATGGCTCAGCCTGTTTGCCCACAGACTTCCAAGCTTGAACCCACAGAAGTAGTTTCTTTCTTTCTTTCTTTATGAAGCTTTTTAGAACCATTAAAACCATAACCTGTGTACTGTATTACAGCTTTTCAATTTTGCTACTCTACTTTGAAGCTCAATGGAGACTTTGTGTTCTCTGTTCCTCAGCTCATTTATCCCTGGTGATGCTGCATCAAAGAGCATGATGTTGTTGATTTAACCACTTGGTTTTCAACAGCTTTCAGTGGAAGGATCTCGTTACATTAAACTTCTCAGCTAAGAAAAAGCCTCTTTTAGACTATTTAAATAAGGCTGAGGTTCATAGTTTAGAAGTGAAACATTGCAGAATCCTACACTAAGAGCTGCCAGAAGGAAGTCAACATTGTGACCTCAGTGATGTTCTTTGATGAATTTGGGCTTTGAAGCAGTAGCACAAAAGTAGAAAGCTGTAAAGCAGGAGACAGATGTACTGTCAAAAACTATAAAAATGCTTTAAGCTTTGGGTTTTTTGTGTTCCCCCTCCCCCTTAAAAACCAAAAGTGATAAAGAGGCAAGAGGAGTATAATTCCTCTCTTTCTTTTTTGCATTCTTATTTTGCTGGCAGCTTATTTTTTAGTACTGCCAATAAAAGCCTGTATATTACAACTGCCACAGTAGAGAGGCAGTATAGCTGGTAGCATAAGCCATAAAAATTCTAGGGGACAAACAGAACACAGAAAATATTTGTTCATAGCTTTAAGCAATCCCCAGCTTGTTTGGGTTTTGTTTGTAAAGCCGTTGTGCATCTCCCCTTCTGACATGCTTTTCCTCGTGCTGGGATCCCTAGAGGAATCCTAATCTTTTCATCAAACCCTTGGCCACCCTTGACCTCCCATACTCTCCCTGCACTCGCTTCTGCCAAATTTTATCCTTAAAAAAAAAAAAATCAGCAAAAACGATTTATTTTCTATTTCTTTCCTTTCAATTCCTTTTAGTGAAAGCAGCTCAGAGTGACCTGAAAAGCTTCAGCAGTTGCCAGACTTCTCAGATCACAGCCACTGTTCTCATTAACGTAAGTGGATTGTGATGGAATGGGAGAAGGAATGAAAGGCTGCACTCAGGGCAGGCTTTAGCCTCAGCCTGTTGTCACTTTTCCTTTCTGCTGTGTGGCAATAAACAGGATTTTTGGAGGACCCACGCGTGGCTTCCTAGAGGTTTAAGTCTGCTTAAGAAGGCAAAAGGACAGCTTCCAAGAAGAAATATAGCTTTTCTCAGAATAAAGGGAGTAGAATGACTGAGAAAGAAACTTTACATAAATAATAAAAAGATAAAAAATAGCGTAGCTCCTCAGCACTCATTAACTGCAACAGCTTCATTGCTTTTCATATAATTTTCAATTATACCTGCTAGCAATCTATTTCAATACATATACTTTCTGTACAGAATTAGGATGGAAGTCACAGAAATCTAAGAAATTAATAATAATCATTTTATTATGGTTTATTCTTTATCATAGAAATTAAAAATAATCATTTCAAAGACCAAAAGTCAACCAAAGAAAGAGTAATTCAGCTAAGGCTGTATTTTACGAGGAAAAAACAAGTTCCATTAAAGCCAGTTGAAAGGTTTTGACCACCCTGGAACAGATAACTTCACGCAATAAGATAAACTTTTGTCTGGTCAGATGTTTTTAATATCTTTCACGTGTTAACCCATTCAATATTAATTAAAGTACCTAGTTCAAGAATCAATTCAAAAGCATTCTCTCCAGGTTATCTGCACTGAAAGCTGACTTTACTTAGCAGTGGGGCATTTGGTGATTCACCTCAGACAGTGCTGGCCTTTTACGTGTTGAAATGTATTCAGTTCCCTTGAACAGTGCAGGTAGTAAATGTTGAAAAATATCTTAGCTGGCTAGAAAGGTAGAAAAAGAAACAAAAGCTTATTAATCCCAACATACTATATTTCTGACCCAGGAATATTTTGAGGTGCTTGTTATAATTCAGACTCTTCCAATTTTAAAGCTGCTTGGAACTGAAGAAAGCTGAATAGGAAAAAAAACCACCCAATCCTTAGATGGGCAAAATGCTTGCATTCTTCCAAACCCAGACATCATGGAGGACTATGTCAATTTTTACAATATTCCAATGGAAGCCAGGGAAAATGTTCATCTGTGGGCTGAAAGGAAGCCAGAATTCCAGGGCTTTGGTACCTAAGCTTTCGGACTTGCACACCTCGCATCAGGTGAGGTCACCCAAATCCATTACGCTTAAAGCTGGAGCTCCCTGAAGTAGTTCCCGTTGGGAGAAGCTACTCCCATCTCAAGGATAATCAGAGTTTGGTTTCAAAGTATCTGGACAGTTTTGCTGTGTCACTCAAAACTCCACCTGGCTTGGTTTCTTATCTCTGACTAGCTGTATATTCTTAGGATAAGATATAACAGAATATGTGTAGTGTACCTTCAACTTCAGCATTCAGCGCTTAGGGTTGCACCTAGATCATCATGATTAATAACCAAATAGAGCAATATTCCATTTCAAAATATTGTAGTCCTCTCTAAAAACGAGTCAACATTTTTTAAGCACTTAAAGTATGCTTAATTCAGTGCTGTTAGAATACGTCTTTTTTTGGCCAAATATTATTTAGTTCATACCTGCTTTTTCCATAAGTCAACAACTTTATGCAGAAGTTCATCATCTTCTCTTGGTCCTGGATTGGTGATCAAAAAATCTATATCATGTCCAACCTTCTTCCCTCTAGAAGCAATAGAAAAAACAAGAAGACGAAAAGAGCTAAGTTCTTGTTGATTTTCACACTACTTTTGAAGAGAATATTTTTGCTACACTATAAAAAGAGTTTGCAGCATCAAGTGATAGCAATGTTTCTTGAAACATAATCAAAATGGAATCTTCTATTTCTTTTATCGGGTCTGTCAGTGTTCTTTGTTAAGCAATAATTTAAACTTTTTGATGTATTTTCTCTATTGTTCAACTAGATACTGCAGACCCATTTGGTGATGTTAAATCCCTGTCTTTCTTCCCCTTAAGTCCCAGAAAAGAAGGTTTCAGTCATCTTTGGATAAAAAAAAACATAATCAAAATACCATACCATATATTATGAATCCAGTGCAGGAACAGCAGATAAACTTGACAGTCTGACTACTGCAGGCTTAAATATTCTTCTTTAGCTCTTGATGGACATTTTAATGAACAAAAGTGTGATTATGAATAATTGTATTGTTTTCTTTTATGGCAGACATAAAATAATTGAGTATTTTACATTTCTTCTTTTCTAAAATACAACAATGTTTTTTGCAGGGATTGAGCTTGATTTTTTTCAAGAATAGTTCAGCCTTAATGTGATTAAAGCTTTTTTATCACACCCACTAAGGATTTCACAATTAGATCTGTATGTACAAAGTTTAATTGTAAACATTTTTAATGAATAATTATGTCATAACCTCTTGTTTTTCTTCATTTAAATCTAAGTGTTCAGCTTGCCTTTCACCCACTTACCAAATGTGCTAAACCCAAGTCAGATTAAGACGTAGCTATCATTGGAAAACAAGAAAAACATGCTGTTGGAAAGTTTCCCTTCAGAATTATAAAATGTTTGAGAATCTGAGAATTTATCTTAGAGTGCAATTCAACTGAGGTTTGCGGAACTAATACCGGGTTTTTGTTTTGGTCTAAGTACTGCAACAGGGACTGCATACACATCTATTTATTAGCTGTAATCAGGCCAGCCTAAGGAGAAAGGAGCAGAGGAAATATTTCTGTAACTAAGTGCCGTATGTAGAAGGTGGAGTAAGCACTCAAAATCTGGAGCAGTGACACTCAAGTGCATCACACCTCCAAATACTTTTCCTGTGCTCATGGGAAAGTCTATTCTTGCTGACGTTCACAAGGGTACATGATGTTATAACTGTGTTTCAGTTCAACACTGCGCCCAGTGTTCAGAGAACTCGTGAATTGTTATACAAACAGTGAAAATTAGAACTGTACAAACCAAAAGGTTTGCTTTTTTTGTATTTAACGAAATAGTTCATTCTCTTAAAATAGTCCATAAAACTGAATGTAATTTCTTAAACTTGGAAATTTGTAGGAACGGCACTGCTTGGCAGACACGTCAGCTGCCATTTGTGCGGCAGGAAATCATCTAACTGATGGAGAGTTGAGCAGCACTAGCAGCACGATGCAAGGAAATGAAAACCGAGGGTTTGCATGTGACAAGCAGTCTAACTCACTGTAGTGCAACTATTGTGCCATGTCTGCAGCAGTGTCAAAACTGCTTAAATAGGTGGAAATTATTTCAAACGAAGTTTCAAACAAAGCATCAGTCTAGGCTTATAAAAGGAACAGCAATTTAAACTGAAGAAGTTAAAAAAAAACATTTAGTATTTCATGCAACACTTTCTGAGTTATTTTGTAGAATGACATTCGTTATCTCTTAAATTACCATAATAATCCAAAGCTCTTACTTAGCACTTTTTATTTACATGTCTCAAAATGTTTTTTCAAAGAGAAGGAATTTACTATTCTTATCTCAGAGTTACAGAAAGTGGCATAAGAAAACCTGCCTAAAATTATTTTAAAAAATGAAATAAAATCAAAGGAGGAAATTGGAAGCTGATGGAATTGAAAGCCGATTCCCAATTCGTCCTCTGGTACTCAACACATGCATATTTGGGGTTAATCATACCTACAAACTCCTGCATCAGTCCAGCCATAAAATCCCAAGAAATCCAAGATGTTTCACTGGCCATCTACTTCTCAAGACAGAGAGCATTTATTGAAATTATTTTCATAAGTGAAGTTAAAGTATTTAAATCTGATATAAAAGCACATAATATAAAACCATTGTTATTGTCAGAGTTCTATTTCAGCTTCTCTTGGAACTAATTCACATTGGATTAATTTCTGACTGAATTTGTCAGGCTGTTACAGGAACATTTAGTCTAATTTCCATGAGTACTCTTTACCAAATAATGTATTTCATTCTAGAAAAATTTATTACCTTCCTTAAAATAGAAAAACAATTTAGTAAATTAAAAGGTTGTACAATATATATTGCTTACAGCTTGTAAATCATGCAAAACAATGCAGCGAAGTGCACATAGATTCAGAACATCATTCTATTGAAGCTGAAGGGAACGTGGCCATTGATCTCAGCAGAGGAGGGCTTTTCACATATATATATTTATTTACAGATATTTATATATTTGTGTATGTATACATATTGGGTATTCATAAAATTACATAAAGGGCACATGGGATGGGATGGTGCCAAGGTGCTCTGCCCTCAGCTCAGGAAATACGTTACCGTATGCATTTGTTTATCACTTATTAACTCTATATGCACATCAACAGTCCATTGAAGCTGAAGCTAACTATATACCTAAAGACTAGATATGACACGGGACTTGATGATATACAAGTTAAACACCATGGTGCCAGACATCTCATCTTCCAACTGGATATGAAAACCTAGAATTCATCACCTGATTAAGTGCCTCAGAGAAGAAGCCTCAATCTCTTGCTCATTCCTGAAGCTCGCCAAGAGGAATGCTGCAGGATGCACTCTTCTTCAAACTCATCACATTCAAGAAAGCAGGTTCCTTACAAAGGACTACAGGTGGGCTCCACCATAATTTAGAGACTGAAGGGGGTTAACTAAGCATCATTCACTTAAAAATGGAAACAAATAGTTTGTTTCAAAAACAAACATCAAATTGATGCTGTCAGTGCCTGGTTTTGTCTTGCATTTTGTAGCCCAGTGACTGGCGCAGTGATTCCTCACCCTTTTATTGCCTTATTTTTCTCAGTTAGGGATATTGGTGATGTACCTGCTTCACAGGAGACATCTCCTCAGTCTCCTCTCCTTCCGCCTTCCACTGGGGTACAGTTCCAGGACCAGAGTTCAGAGACAGTCTTTGGGTCCATGCCAGTGTCCACAGGATATTTACTTACTTGTTATTAGCTATTGGATTAAAACCACTCAGCCAGGAAGGAGAACACTGTTTGAAATTTTCACAGCCAAGTTATTTGTCATCCACTGGCTGTCAGATACAAAACGCAGGGCCCATGCTTGGTGCAGGGAGCAGAGTTTTAAGAGTTTTCTCTCTAAATGGGCATCCTAGCCAGTACGCTACATCACACTCTCCCCTCCTGGCTCTGCAAATCTCCCATTTTATACCGCAGGGTGGCATAGATCCCCTCAGGCTAGTGGTTTTAGCCCACTAACGGATAGTGGGAGATGTAGGGATTTGATTCTGGCATGCCACTGCCTATGTACTCTAATCGTAAGGCTTTTATATAAAATTTGAGTACTATTTTAAAAATAAAAACAGCTGCAGTGACATTTCAGAAAAAATTGTACACATCCTCTTAAAGTTTATGAGAGTTGCTCAGAGCTTGTCTGTTTTCTAGGCCGCCTGTGAGATGAGAGTGATAATCTGTCTGGTTTCTGGATTCCAGCTGGGCATAAGCAGGATGTGTGAAAATATTTGCTCATACTTGGAGGTGCTGGGGTTGCCGTGAAGCAAAAGCACAGATGCCCCCAGGTGCAGTCAGGGGCAGAACTGGGGAGTTCAGGTGCCTAAGACTTTGCACAGGAAGGGACACGGGTTCAAGTTTTGCATATGCTGTTCAGATCTGTTTACATCTTCTTTTCCTTTTCTTTAAATCTAAACCTAGGTCTTGTCGGGCTGGAGCTATAAAAAAACCAGCACTTCGCAGAACTGAAATTGCAGCTTAGGTTTTGTCCCAATAATTTATTCAAACCTGAAGACGATAAAAGACAGAACACTTAATTTTGTTCAATTCTTGGCTGACTGAACTTGTATAAAGTTGATATGTTTCTTACTAATCAATGAATTACCTTTAAGGTTGGAATTATCTTTTTTGCTGTAACTGTTTTAATACAAAATATAGATTCCAAGTCATCAAACATAACTATCGTTATGACTAAAACTTAAATATATGAATGAAAGGACAGTATGGCAAAGGATAATCACATTGTTTTACTCTACAAGGGCAACATATGCATGATTAGACATTTTACGCTAATACTATGGGTGCAGAGTATTTTGAAACCTCGGGATATTATATAACGGCTAAGCCATATCAATGACAACTCTGATAAATTTACCTTAGTTGAGGAAACATAGACTGACATTTCTGCTCACAACATTTCACTAATGGAGGAGCTTAAACCACTTCTTTGCAGCAACGAGTTCTGTGTCAAAACCCTGAAAACCATTTAGCAATCTTTGTGCTTATACAGAGTTAAAGTGGATACAAAAGATTATACTGTATTTCCACGTGTGTGCTCGCATTAGTTAAAACTATAAGCTTCTCTTAACTTTGCAAGCCCTTGAAGTGTATGAAATACAAAATGAATATTAACAGCCTGTGTTTATGAGTAACTGCATCTCCTGCTCAGGCATATTTCTAGAAAATATAAGCATCAAATAAAATCACAGACAACAGAATACCTTCGGACAGATCTGTCATAAAACTGATTTATTATTACCTCTACTATTGACATTATATTGCGCATAGAAATATTACTTACTTCTTAGTGTTGCCAAAATATTCTGGGCTTTGCCTGCTAACCAAGGAAAGGTGTTTCTCCTTTGAAATGTTGCAGTTTAAGTCCTAGATTTGTTCACCACCATCTTCTCTAACAGCTCCTTTCAGTTGTGAGGGCCCTTCTCCAAGAGCAGCCCTTTCCTTCAGCTATGGCCAGATGGATC